CGTGTACACACACACAGACAAAGCACAGGTCAAGGTACTAGGGAAATTGCACAACACTAGGAAACCAACAAATCCAGGTTTTCCTACCACATGCATACAAATAGGGTTAAGGGACTTTTATGGGTCACATTTGCAAAAGATTTTTCTCCCCTAAAAACTGAATTTTCAGGCTTGTGTGTAATTTACTAGAAGTGTACTGCAGGACTCTGATGCTCTGAAGCTGTGAGTGCTTACTCATGTAGGTTCCTGCTTAACAAAAATAAGTACCAGTATGTTATATTTGTCACCAAAATCTAGGCAGAGAAGGCAAATTCAGAACACTGGGAGTTGCCAAAGCTTTAATTTCTAGCTTGAAGACCATAAAGCTGTCCCACCTTCCACCTCAACATCTCACACAAACAGAGGCCACAGGAAATAAAAGCAAAACACAGGTTCTCTCAACTGACACTGGAGCTAGTTAAAAGATTACAGAATCGTCTACACTCTGAGCACAAATTAAAGAGTAACAAAGACTAGTGATTTAGGGATAGAATAATTACTGATTAACAACAAAATGCCAAAGTTGATGTCAAAGACAAAGGGTTAAGCATTTTAATGTTTTTGTTTCCATTTTGTAAACTACCTTTTAAGTAACAGGAATATAGAACCCCATATGTCCCACTGCATAAAATTCACTTTTTAATCTTTCTTCTCCTTGAAAAGTCAATTCTGAAAGTAAATACGAGTTATTCAAAAACCTGATACATACAATGCTGACCTACTATAAACAGCTTCTACTTTGGGTTTTTTTTTTTTTTTTTTAATTAACTGGTTACATAAGCATCATGACCACCCACACTGAATTTTTCACTCCTGAACCCCTAGCACCTAGCACCAAACCTGACATGAAGTGGGTGCTCAAACATTTTAGGGGGATGAACTTGGTACTGAAAGCTTCTGAAACCCTAAGCAGACATCCCGGATTCTGTAAGGTTTCACTAAATGCTGTTAATGGATTTAATAAAAGTCACTGCCCCTTTCTACCACTTCAAGCTTTTGTAGGGGAAACTCACATTTCTACCATTACTTTTGAATCCCCACATGAGACATTTAAGCACATTTAAAGTGGCAGCATTATCCTATTTTAAGTTACCGCAACTCCCTCCGAAGAAGGAATTCTTTGAAAACTTAGCATTATGAAGCAAACTCCAAAATCTCACACCAATAACAAATAAAGTGTGCGCCAAGTCCCCTTTATGATCAGAGTCACTTTTCTGATTTAAACTCGAACGCTTATTTCTTGCACTCTGAAAGGTCAGGTTTTCTGCTTTTTCACCCCTTGAAAATACACTTAATCCTGTAACACCACTCACAAGGCCTCCCCAGCCCCAACTCCTTTTGTATATAAACACTCTGGTCACACACTCCATCAGCTGTTTGGTAGCTCCACCCCTCCTCCTTTTCCGGGTAGTAACAGAGCAGCCAATGAGCTGTGAGGAGCTGTGCCTGAGGCCTTTTGCCTGCATATGCTTTTCCAAAACAAGCAGCTCCAGCCTTCAGCAGGGGCCACTGGTTCACAGATAAAAGGATCACCAGGCTGTGCAACAGGGTGAGACGAGTAACCCCCACCAACAAGGAAACCCATGTAATCTGAGCTGTTTGTTCCTCCACCAGGGAGAACTTAAACTGATATTCCTTTAGGGCAAATCACGCTTTAAGGTCACCAGAGTCCCAGTTCTCAGACAATCTAAATAATCAGCCTGGGTTTGGGTTTGCGATGGAAACCTTAACGCCTGCCAGGCTGGGAACAGCGCGGTATCACCAATCTATCTGACTTTGCAAACAAATGGCCACACTCTTCACGACCATACCACAGGATTTAGGCTCACTCTTAAGTTTTTTGATTGGGACGCATGCCTACGGGACCCCCAAAAGTCGTGTACACCAGTTTCTAGGCTCCTGGAGAGGTTTGCACAACCCTCAGCAAAGGATCGGAACAGAAACAATGAATGAGTCAGAGTTTCAGAACATAATCGCCCAGCAGATTATTAAGTGCATCGGTGCAAAACACTCACTCCCTGCATTAACTTGAGAGTCAGCTCTCCTCCTACCAACCCGTCACAAAAGAAACTGCACCGACTCCAAACAACAACCAGAGACAGCGTCTCGTAAAGGACCTAGCTAGGTGGCGGAAAGCAGTGGCCAATTAGTTACACATCCCCTTCTCTCCCTACCCCCACAACCACTACTTTCCTACTATATAGGTTCCCTGCCAAGCTGTAAATCGTGGTGGCATAATTACACTCAGGAGACATCCAAAAATGGGCTGAAACAGGAGATTGCAATGAAACCAGCTATCGGCCTCCAGACCAGAGAAATCATCAAGGGGCACTGAGGGCCAGAAAGCAAGTACATTCCTTCAGACCTTCTCTACTTCCTCTCCACCATCTTTCATTTTCAACCCCGGCCCTTTCACACAATTGCATTAATTTTAATAGTGGGCTGGGAAATTTTTCCTTAAATTTTTGCTGAATATATCTTGCTCAAAAATTATTGGCTCCACTTGGGCCTACTGATAGGAATTCAACAGAGAAAAGAGGCCACAAAATCTCTCACCCCCACCACACACATGCTCACACAAAAGGAAATAGAAAAATTTTAACTTCCAAACTACAGTTAGGCCAGAAAATAACAAATATGCAACAAAGATAACCTCTGGCTTTTAAGTCCCGAGACTGCTGTCCTCCTATCTCAGAGATCTATGATTTTAAAGCGCCTCTGCTTTCTTTTGTCAGAAAGGAGGAATGGTGGGGAAAGAACAGAAGGCCAATGCATCTTTGCCTTTCTTCATCTTCTACTAAAAATAAGCTATGAAATAAGCTACTTAGAAGAAAAAAGAGAAAGACACCCTGCTGTTCTTTGTCTGTTTTCCTCTCCCTCTCCACCCCCCACACCCGGACTCCTAAATGCGGTAATCATTCTAGATGCCACAACTACTAAATGAACAAAAGGCACTGTATGGAAAAGGCATCAGGTCAAGTTAGGCCTCACCCTTTATCCTCAATCTTCTAAAAATATGTATGTATAATTTGAGACACTGACATTGATCACAAACAGCTGGAATACTCTCCCCACCTCCATCCCAATCAAACATTAGGTAGAAATTTGCATTAGGTGTGACAGTAACTCTCAATTCAGTATAAAAATAACTCAGATGCTGCCACCATGTCATTTCCTAGTTTCTAAACAAAAATAAAACCCGAAACTGCTTTGTGTGAAATGAACACACATAGATAGTTACAAGTTTTCCTGCAACATTATGAAAAGCCAATATTACTGGTATCGTCCACACATTTACAAAACTCCAGCACAGCCACAACCAGCTCATCAAGAGTCAATTTCACGTGTGCCTAGACATGTATTTGGAAGATAAATTTAACTCTTTGCTCGTCTCTGTAATCCCCCTCCCACCACCCCAAAATTCTAAAACTTCAAACCCTAAAACTTGCAAGTTTTATCTCCTGTTCCTAATTTCTATCTAAGTTTTCCCGAGTGAGAAGAAAAACACCTTATTCTTGAAAAGATTATGAAAAAAAAAAATCTCTTGCCCAGGCAACTTCTCTCCCATCCCCCACTTCCAAACCAAACACAAAAACTACTTTTTAAAAAAACTTCTGAGAATTCCGTAACTGAGTATTTGACAATAATGATCAATCTCTAAAAAGAGGAAACATGTTCAATCAAAAACAATGACAAATAAAAGGAAGAAAGAAGGAATTCACCTGAAGAATCTAGCCAAACAACTTGAGTTATATAAACAAAACCCTGCAACAGGGGGAAATGGTGGGGGGATGGGGGTGAGGGAGAAAGAGAAGCAGGAGACAGGACTTTTTAACTGCGTTTCAGAGACCGCCACTCCCCATCCCCGGTTCCCCTTCTCCCCAGGGATTAGTTGTTCAGAACACTGGGCTCATTTCCTCTCGCTCCCCCAACCCTCTAAATTACCCCTCAAAAATCTTCTCCATTTGTCACAGGAACCTTCGCGAATTTCTCTAGCTGGTCACGAAATAATCAGTCTGGACTCCAACCAAAACCTCTGCCTGAAGGGCCCTTATCAGTTACAGCTTTCCACTGCTACCTCCAGAGTACATAAAGTTGGGGGGGGTGGGGTGGAATAAAGGGTGTCGCTTGGTAAAATCAGGGCAGTTATTCCCCTCCAAGAACCTTACCCTCATAGACAGACTTTGCTTAAGTGGCTACTACAGGGGCTATTTTGACAAGGAGATCCTCTTTCTCTCCCTCCCCCAGCTGTCACATCCACAATATGGAGGGTGGCTTAGGGAGGGCCTGGGGGTCCTCACTGCATACAACTATGGGTGGGACAGGCTTTGTCAGTGAAAAGAAAAACGGTGGGGTTCTTCTAGGAACCAGAGAGCATAACAGGGGTCTCTGATTTAAAACATTCAGAGCTCTTTATTACAAGAGGGGGCACGGAGCAGGCTACTCTTCCTAATATAGAAAGGAATTAGGGATAAAGGAGGTCACTTGAGTTACCCCAGTTCAAGCAGCACAGTGAGTGGAGGGAATGGAGGCATCTCAAGAAGGAAGAAAGGCTTCACTCTCGGGAATTTCTATCACGAGTCCCTAAATCCAGAGCAAGCAAACAGGAGAGACCCTGAGGTGGACATGGTGGCAGAGAGGTAGCTGGTCCTGCAAAAAAAAGGCCGTCCTGGGAATCGAAACGTTGTGGAGGAGAGACACGGGCAAAGGGGGTGCAGAAAAGCGAGACACAACGCACATTTCGGGGTGCTGCAGATAAAGGGGGAGCTGAAAAGGCTCTCGGCTCCTGGGAGGTGCCAAGGAGCCGCCGTAGGCACTGGGGGGAGGGAGGAGAGGAAGGGAGCCTCGAACAGTGGCCTGGAGTGCCCCAGTGCCCCTGCTTGGGTTTCAGGGGTGCCCTGGGCATCCTCACACAGCCCCCCACCCATCGACAGCTCGAATCTCCCCTCCACGAAGGATACAGCTTGACCACGTCCGTGTCCATCCGCCTCTTGCCCGGACTGGGGGATGACATGGTGTCGCCGCTGCCTCCCCGTCGCCTGCGCCGCCGCCGCCTCTCTCCTTTCCTCGGCCCGTCTATCACGGGCCCCGGGCCCCGGCTCTGAGGAGCCCGCGGCCGCTCCGGCTCCTTGGCGGAGGTGGCAACACCCCCGCGGTCCTGTCCGGTCCGGTCAGCCGCCGCCGCCGCCCCCCGCACGGGGGAACACCGGGCACTGTCCGGCCGAGTGGGGGTGGGGACCCCGCGGCACCCGGCTCAGGCTGCCCCTCTCCGGCTGTGGGTTCCGCCGCGGCCCAGCCCCGGCGCTACTCTGCGCCGCGCGTCGCTCCCTCCTGCCTGCTCTAGCTCGCTCGCCTGCTCGCCCGCTCACCCTCTCGCCGGCTCTCTAGCAGCCTCCACGACAAGCGGACGACTCCTGCTCAGTCGGCCTCTCTACCCCAGCCTCGCTTTGGGCGCCGTGACGTCACCTCTGTGACGTCACCAGAGGGGGCGGGCCGAACTGGCGAAAGGGGTGGGGCGCCGCCGCCGCGGCGTGGACTTTCCCGGGGGGTTCTGGGAGATGTAGTTCCTCTTTCTCCTGCCCTCACAGCCCTGTGCCCCCGCCCCCAACTCCCCCACACACTTAATCGCTCAACTGCCAGTGACGTTAACATCATCACAAACGATAAGAGTAAATAATGGCAATACTATTACATTTGTGTGTTTTAGCGTAATAAACCTCCTTCTCACATATACTGTTAAAAGGGCTGTTTGTTTGATTTGAGGTGGCAATTACTTGGATAGGCACCAAAATCTGGAAATTCCCACACCAGCAGGTTCCCTGCCCTTCTGCTCCCTTCTTGGATGGACAGAATCTGTCTGCCGCGATTGTAGACTATAGCAAGGCTTCCTCGGGGCTTGCAAACCAGGTTTCATTACTTTCCACACCGATAGGGCCACTACTTCAAGGATTAGAATGGAGGGAGCTGGCAAGACCAGAAATAATTTGGTACTAGCTTCCTTACCCCACGGAGTATGAGGCACTTTCACAAAGTGAAAGACTGATAGAAGCTGAAACACCCCCAAATATGCTATGGTTGAAAGAATAGAGATTGTTCTGCCCTCCGAACTCCTATACCAACCCTGTATACCCTGTCATTCATCCAATAAATTTTTATTGAGCACCTACTATGGTGTGAATCACTCTGCTGGACATGAGGATATCATGGTGAACTAAGAAAGACTTTAAATTTACACAGTTCTCCCAATATGGTCTGTGGATGTAGTGTGTCAGCATCACCTGGGAACTTGTTAGAAATGCAGGCTAGAGCTTCACCTCAGACCCACTGCATTAGAATCTGCAGTTTAACAAGGTCCCCAGGTGATTCCGGTGTGCGGTGAAGTTTGAGAGCCACTGCTCTACAAAGCACTCTACGAGAAGCAGTATGGAGCCCAGGAGTGAACCAGGCAAAGGGAGCAGGGATGATGTAGGCATCGCCTATGTTTATATCACATTTTTGCTGCCATCTACTGTATTTTCAAATTTTTTTTTATCTATTCCCTTGTTCGTATGAATACACCTGTACTTTGTCAGACCCCGTGCTGTGAGTTGGGTCCCCTTGCAGAACCTCATGTACACACACACACACACACACACACACACACACACATCCCTGGGGCAGCAGCAATCAGCTAAAATTGAACATTCTTTACTCCAATCATTCCAGTCCTCCATTCCTAGTTAGGTGTGTTATGCTAAATGTATATAACATAACATTTCCCATTTTAACTACTCAAAAGTGCACAATTCAGTGTATTAAATACACTCACAATAGTGTGCAACCATCACTACGCCCCATTTCCAGAACTTTTTCATCATCTCAAGCAGTCACTCTGTACCCATTTAACAAGAAATCCTCATTTATTCTCCACTCCCCCAGCCCATGGTAACCTCTACACCACTTTTTTTTTTAATATTTATTCATTTTTTGAGAGACAGAGACAGATAGACCACGAGCAGGGGAGGGACAGAGAGAGAGGGAGACATAGAATCCGAAGCAGGCTCCAGGCTCTGAGCTAGCTGTCAGCACTAAGCTCGATGCGGGGCTCGAACCCACAAACTGCGAGATCATGACCTGAGCCAAAGTCAGTTGCTTAACTGACTGAGCCACCCAGGCGCCCCTCTACACCACTGTCTGAAAGAGACAGGCTATTTTAAGTGCTTCTAAAAGGGTACATTGGTCTTTCCTACTGCACATAGCAATTCTGTCAGAAGGGGGACCTGTCTGAATGAGATCTCTAACCCCCTTAATGTGACCACTTTGGTTTTTCTGTTGTTGGTCATTTTTAGATGTTTATTTTGTATTTGGGGAGAGACTGTGTGCATACAGGGGAGGAGGTACAAGGGTGGAGGGGGGACAGAGGATCCTAAGCGGGCTCTGTGCTGTCTGAGCTACCCAGGCCCCACGTGACCACTTTGTTAAAGGGAGGTAAGGATGGAGCAGAAAACTGTTCCTGAATGTCTCTTCCAAGCTCTCCAGGCTCCGGTTGCTACTACTTCCTCTCCCAGCACTGTGCTTTACGCTCCTTCACCTGAGTAACCCCCCACTCACATGCTAAAGCAGTTGTTCTCAGCCTTTGGTGCACTTCAGAATCACCTGGGGAGCTTGTTAAGCTCACAAGTGTCCAGGCCCCACCACTGGGGATTTTGATTCAGAAGGTCTAGGGTGAGGCTTGGACGTCCATGTCTTTAACGAGCTCCCCAGATGATTCGGATGCAGGCCAAAGTTTAAGAACCACTGCCTGAAGATTCCAATAGGCACTCACACTTTTAAAACACCTGCCCGACCCCTCTAGGTGGGTCTTGTGCTTCTGTAATATCCTATGCACAAAAGGATGTTTCCTCCCCACATGTGAGCAAGGTGGCAGGCTCAGGGGACCCAAAGTTGTTTCCAGAACAGAAAGAACTGGTCAAGGATGGGACTCTTGAGAAAGAAGGGCATGAGGTGGATCTAGAAATGATCCCTGTTGGGCTTTAATTTTTACAGATGCTCTATGCTGATGTGATCTAAGCCATAAACAAAAATCATCAGAGAGGTGTTTAGAGAAACTTGTTCTGGATGACCCTGGAGAAGGTGGGGCTGCTCTACCTAGAAATGCAATGGAAATTTAGCCCTCTGAGCACTCCCTGAAAAGCAATCACTTAGAGAAGAATTACTGTCTAGCTCTGGGTTACACAGGACAAACCTGCCTGTCCCCAGCCCTTAATTATGACTCAGTTAATTGCAGGTAACCTCCCAAATCCTCAGTGTTCTCATCTATAAAATGGGGCTCATAATACCCTACCCACTTGAGTAGGTTGAGGGAGTAAATGGAAAGGATGAATGTGAAAGCCCCTTGTAAACAATAAATTGCTTTTCATAGAGGTAATGTGAAGTGTTGATTACAAGATGTAATATATTGGTGGTGCTATTATTGTATTATTAATCCTCCCCCATTTGCCCCACTCCTGTGCACTGTATGTCACTTAAGGAGCAAGGCATTCACTTTTTTGATGTGGGGGGTTTTTTGTTTGTTTTTTCTTTAAGATGTCATAGTGTCAATTCCTTCTCTTCACCGTTTTATGACACACCTTTTCTCTCCAGGCATTTTGCCATTTGCTCCTTCATAAATCCATTTCCTCCATTCTGACTTCCTCCCCTTTCCTCTGCTACAACCCTCCCATCATCTTTCCAGAGCTTCAAACAGCCTCTTGAATCTGCCCTTGACCAGGTGGGTTCAAAAGGTGGCTCCTAAGTGGTCCCAAATGACAGCCTCTGTTTGGCTTCTTTTTGGCCTTCCAGAACCTGGAGCTCCTCTTGAGCTAAGTAAGCTTGCGCTCACCTTTTTATCCAATGTCTTAGCCATTCAGTACATCAATAATTTACTCTAAGGCAACGCTGGGGCCTGGGTGTGTCTGTTTATATGTGTGCACACACATGGCAGTGTGCTGGAATGAACCATGTTTTTCCTTATCAGGTATAGCCAGGGTGCCGCAAGGGAACAGCTGTCCGGCCTGCCTGACTCACCAGTGTTGCAATCTGGGAAGCGTCTTCGGGCCTGTTTATCTCTCCCCAGGGCAGGACCACGCTTGACCGAAGGAGCCTCGGATCTCAGGAGTAGCTTCTCAAAGGCAAGCCAATGAGCTTGGAGAGAATATACTGCTCTGAGCAAGACACTAAGAGGGAGCAGAGGAGAGCCATCATTTGATGGAGTGATGGAGGACCCCAGCCCCAAAGCCCCTCTGTCTCTGAAGGTGCCTGTTAAGGCAAGAGCTCTAAAACCAAAGTGAGTTCATCACTGTCCCCGCCAAATGTGAGAATCCCTCCAATATGGCTTCCCCATTCCGTTTGACCATTTCTGTTGGGAAATAGGTTCATTTTGAGCTGGCACTCTCAGCCTCTGAGATCACAGGTCCGGATCCCTCTGGACGGCAATGATATGAGCAGTTTCCTTGCTGCTGTGGAAATGAAAGCTTAAAAATCATTTCAAGGGGTGCCTGGCTGGCTCTCTTGATCTCAGGGTTGTAAGCTTGAGCCCCACACTGGGTGTAGAAATTACTTATAAATAAAGAAAGAAATTTAAATAATCATTTCAAGCCATCTCCATGTAACCCTGTTACAATTTGTCCCCACAGAAGCAGTCAGGGGTTGCTCAGGAACATGCAGGCCAGACGGCAGCAAGGACAGAAAGATTTCATCTGCGCTGCTAACATTGTCACTGGTTGTTTTGTTCGCTACCTATGGCAACAGGCTCCTTGGACAAACACCAATCCCCCCCCTCAAAGCAGCATGATTCAGAGAGAGCGTGGAACTTCGAGACAGAAGACTCCTTCCAGTCCCAGGTCTACTACCTGTTATCGATATCATTTGGGCAAGTAACCCAACCTTTGTGCCTCAGTTTACTCATCTTTTTTTTTTAAATGTTTTATTTATTTCTAGGAGAGAGAGAGAGAGAGACAGCGCAAGCAGGGGAGTGTCAGAGAGAGAGGGAGTCACAGACTCTGAAACAGGCTCCAGGCTCTGAGCTGGCAGTCAGCACAGAGACCGACACGGGGCTCGAACCCACGAACCGCGAGATCATGACCTAAGCGAAAGTCGGACGCTTAACCGACTAAGCTACCCAGGCGCCCCAACAGTTTACTCATCTTGAAAATAGTATGAGAGTACCGGCGCTACCCTTGCCTAGATCAAATAGGAGAAGAGATGTTGCATCCTGTAAAGGGCTAGTCACATATAAGATATTATCATGCCCCCCCATACAGACACCACCCCCCTAATGCCGAAGCTCAAGGAGGGAGCCAGATTGGAAATTATTTACACCTCCATCCAGAGAGCTCTCACCTGGACTCTGTTTGCAGCCCTTGTTTTGCTAGTCGTAGCCTCTTGTGTTTCCTCTGCAGCTTCCTTATCCCCCTGATCTGGAAATGCTGGAG